GAGACCATCTGTTCAACGTCTACCTTATCAATTGCCTTTAGCATTTTATATACCTCAATCCGATCCTCCTCTCATTCCTCTGAACTCCAGTGAGTACAAGCCCAAGCTATTCAACCGCTCCTCATACAACAGCCCTTTCATCCCTGAAATCAACCTGACAAACCACAACTGAGCCAAAAAGCTGTTGATTCAAGACTCACCCCAAATATTTGAAAAACAAAACTCTAACCCCAGAGCAGTACTACAGATGTGTATCACTTGGATGTTAATTTGAGGTCGGTCTTGTACTGTCGGGTGACTGTAAAAGACTCAGACCGCTATTTGAAGAATAGACAGTATCCTGGCTAACAATCATTTTTCACACAGCAGTACTAAAACAGATGAGCTAGCCATTCATCACAACTTGATGTGTACAATTTGATCACGTTAAAGGAAGCTCCAAAAAGTACTGCATGCCTCTGAAAAGTGGATGAGACAACCATAGAATCATAGAATAGAATCCCTACAGTGTGGAAACAGGCCCTTCGGCCCAACAAGTCCACACCAACCCTCAGAGCATTCCACCCAGACCCATCCCCCTATAACCCACCTAATCTACACCTCCCTGAACACTACGGGCGATTTAGCATGGCCAATCCACCTAACCTGCACATCTTTGGACTGTGGGAGGAAACCGGAGCACCCGAAGGAAACCCACGCAGACACGGGGAGAATGTGCAAACTCCACACAGACAGTCGCCCGAGGCTGGAATCAAACCCGGGTCCCTGGCGCTGTGAGGCAGCAATGCTAACCACTGTGCCACCGTGCCGCCCCGGTTGTGAAACACGCTGTAGAAATGCGTCTCGTTCTCGAAATCTGGGTCTTACCCAGGCCGCTGTGCCCCCCACCTACCTTGTCGTGATAAGGCCCCAGCACTATCCAGCCGCAGAAGCAGTAACCCATGTAAATGACAGCCACACAGCAGCAGAACCGGATGACATTGGGGAAAGCAGCTCGGAGAGTCACGATGAGGATCTGCGGAGGAAGCAGCGGCAGGTCAGTAACCTGAGGATAGTGTACTCCATACAACAACAGACTGTGACAATAAACACCTACTTAAGGAAGAATCCACTCTCTTGTGTGGCAATTATCTCATGGATGGACAATGCTCAAGAAAAAGGAAGTCCGGGTTGAGTTAAAAGACTGAAAGACTGAGATTTTGAAGGAGGGTGACAGGGAGAAAGACTAGACATTAGAGACACTGTACAATTTGGTTACATTGGCCTAGGAGCAGATGCAGGAATTGATACTGGTGTTAAAAGGGAGAACAGATTTTATTGGCATTGGAGAAGATTTAGCCTGTGAGATAATTATTAAAGCATCTCAGAATCACTAGTGTGGAAACAGGCCATTTGGCCCATCAAGTCCACAACACTGCTCTGAAGTGCATCCCATCCAGACCCATCCCCCTATCCTATCCCTGCAACACCACATTTCCCATGGTCAATCCACCTAACCTGCACATCTATGGACTGTGGGAGGACAACGGAGCACTCCGAGGAAATCCACACAGACACAGGAAGAATGTGCAAACTCCACACAGACAGTCGCCCAAGTGGTGTTAACCACTGAGTCAGCGCGCGCGAGTGAGAGACTGTGCAATTTTTTCTTCTTGCAGTGACAGCCCAGAGAAAATTAGAGCTGGACTGCTCTGGGTGACATCAAGGAGGACAAATAGGCGTAAAAATCTAGAACTCATTCCAACCCCCCACCTCAAAAGCATGATGCTGCTTGGCCTGCTGTGTTCATCCAGCTCTACACCTTGTTACCTAACATTAAAACCAAGATTGTTTCTGCTCAGGATATGGGCCTACACAGGGTAGATGAGGTTCAGATACAGAGTGGTCACAACCTGATTGAGCAACAGAAGAGAAACCTTCAGGGCCACATTTTAATCTATGGTTTTGGTGACAGCTGAAACTTCACCACACTCTGCGGTGAGGCACAATACTTACATTGTACTTCTGAAAGAAACTCAGATAGCGAATAACTCCAACCCAAACCAACAGGGTCGAGGTTCCCAGTAAAATACTGCACAAGTCATAGGATGCAAAATTCTGTAAAAGAAATCCAGGAAATTGAAATGGATGAGATTTGTTAAGATATGGAACAGCAATTGCCTATAAAATCAAAGGCTTATACTATCGTCAAATTTTATTAAGTTTTGACTATTATTAAACTGAGGCCTTTGCCTGCCTTCTCAGCTCATAATAAATCGCATGGCATTATTTCCAAAAAGAGCAGGGGGGCTCGCTCCAGTATCCTAGCCAACATTTGTCCTTCAATCAAACGAAGTGAATTAGTTGGTGAGATTGTACAGGACGTTGGTAAGGCCTCTTCTGGAATACTGTATCCAGTTCTGGTCACCCAGCTATAGGGAGGAATATTATTAAGCTGAAGAAGGTTCAGAAAAGATTTACCAGGATGCTGCTGAGTATGGAAAATTTTGAGTTGTATAGAAAGACTGGATTAGGCTGGAACATTTTCCAATGGCGTGTAGGAGGTTGAGGGGTGACCTTATAGTGGTTTATAAAATCATGAGGGATATAGATAGGGTTAATGGTAGGTGTCTTTTCCCTAGGGTGGGGGATTTCAAGGCTCGGGCATATTAAGGTGAGAGGAGACAGATTTAAATAAAAGACATGTGGGGCAATTTTTCCCCCCCCCGACAGAGCGTGGTTTGCATATGGAATGAACTTCCAGAGGAAGTAGAGGGCGTGGGCACCGTTAGAATGTTTAAAAGACATTCGGATAAGTAAGCGAGTAGAAAAGGTTTGGAGGGGCACGGGCCGAGAGGCAGATGGGACTAGTTTAGTTTGGGATTATGTTTGGATTTGACTGGTTGGACCAAAGTGTCTGTTTCTGTGTTGCATGACTCTATCTAGCATAGTGAGATCTTGCAATGTGCAACCTAAAAAGCTATTCATTTCACTTGCTGCTCGAGGACAGCTGCTAATGTATTAACTGACCACTGGATTTCCTACATTACAACAATGGGAATGCTCCAAAAGTAGTTCATTGGCAGTAAAGCACGCTGGGCCACCCTAAGGTTGTGAAAGCTGGCATTTAAATGGAGGTTTATTAACAGACAATGTAGCCATACAGCACCTCCAGTGTGCTGGGCTCAGCATTTAGTAGTCACACCTCAGCATCTGAGCATTTCTCAGGATACAAATGAATAAACTTGTACTTATCACATCTCTTGGGCTTGTGCAAAGTGTATTACAGCCAATGAATCACCCATTATTGTTCCAGACTCTTGCACAGCAATCCATCAGCACCAGCAGGGCAGAGATGAATAAGCAGTCTTTGGCAAGCAGGACACCAGAAGACTTTAAATAGCACCATAGGAATTTGCGTTTTACAGCTAGCTGAACCACTGATGCAGTCCTCGGCTTAATACCTCATCGATAGGAGAACACTTTTGGTTATTTATTGAAGTGATGGCCCTGGGTTGGATCTCTACTCAAGGGAAATAAACTTGCAGGAGTGCAGAGATGGAGTCGAAAATGGGTCTGACTGGATTGTTTTAAAGAGCCAGAATGGACTCGATGGACCGAATGGTCTCATCTGTGCCAGGGCTTCAACCTACCGTCTTTCAACACAGGCCAGAGAACTGCCAACTGATCCAGACTGGCACAGTACAATTCAGAGGACATGCAGCATGGGGAGAGAGGCCAGTCAAGTCGCTACTCCTCAAATCTTCCTGTTACAATGGGTGGAAAGGAACGCATTGGCAAACTATGAGGTGCATCCTTGGTCAACACTGCCCCCTGAACTAGCACGAAAACAGCAACCTAAATAACTATTCATTTCACTCGCTGCTCGAGGACAGCTGTTAAACTTCGTCACAAACCAATGACTGCACCCCAGAAGCAATAAACCTTGAGAGGCACCACCACACTTGGATGTTTCAATATATTAAAGGTATTTTATAAATCTTTATTGCACTGTACTTTGCAGTGGCAGTACAGTACCAAGAGGTTCCACCGAGTGGCAGTATTGATCACAACACCACCGAGTTCTGGTCTCAATTTACCCAAGTAGGTCAGAGTCGGAGAGATTTGGAACCAGAATACTCCAGTTATAAAATCAGCAGCTGGTGGACAGAAAACCTTCAACAATTATACGACAAGAAAAGACTATCCTAGGCCACTTCCAATACCTGAGGGTCACTGCAGCACACTCACTCCTGCAGCCATTTAACAATCCTCCGCCCATACATACTCCTCATTTTCACAGTCTGATCAGCTGGACGTTCAGCACGATGAGTGTAAATACACAGCTATTTTTATTTCAGTACTAAGGGTATAATTCCGTCAAGCGATGAGTGAGAGCTGTACTGTGGCTTGTAGATTGGCTTTGGTGGAATTCTAACTGTGTGCGTGACGGGTCAGCACTGGGCTAGGTCAGGGACCAGACAAACGGCACGGCCTCCTTTACCTTGGACTCAATTCCGATCTTCATGATTGTCCCCAAGAAGGTGAAAATGTCACTGACGATCAGCAGAACATACCAGCCATTGAGAAACTCCATGCGAGTAGCGAACGACACCTCCTTCCCGTGTTTCAGCAGGAAGAATTTCCCAAATTCCTGCAGAGAAGACCGACAGAGAGGGAATGATGTCTCATTCTGGGACCAATAGTTTTAAATTTCTCATCCTGCCAGACTCTGGCTTCATCACCAACAGCAGAACGAGTGCGGAGCGTGGATAACATTTGTACACAGCCTGGTGTGGGGGTGAGGGTAGAAATGCCCCATGCAGAGTTACATCCTGTTTCAGGTGAAATATCCCCTCTCCATATCATACCTCTCCAGCTTCTATCAGGTCATCCTCAGAAAGCGGAGAGATTTTTAAAAAACGCTTCAATCTTTTCTGATTATCTCCATTTGAGGAGTAGCCTTGCGTATCTTGTTTGCACCTTTTGCCAGTTCCTCTATACTGTTCCTGGATTTGGGAGATCAAACTATGCACTTAGATCAATCAGTACAGTGGGATGTCAACTTTTAAATTCATGAATCATCTCTTCAAATTTGGAACAAAATAACTAATTATTTGACCTCATTTCTAATCATCCTACTCAGGTAAAGACTGGTCTGTATCGATTCAAGTTCAAAAGTCTGTCAGCAAGTGCTTCCCCTAACGTTCACAAAACAGAGGAAAAAAACACTTCTGACAGAACAGAACTGCAATTTCTAGTTTTAGTGAAACAGAATGGGAAGAGACTGGAGTGGGGCATAACCAGAGTTCAGTCAAATAGTCCAATCATGTGTTCACTGAATTGGAGTAAAAGTAAGTCATTCTCAACCCCGAGGGACTGCCTAAGACCGTTGTGCTATACATTCTACTTAACTACACAATTCATGAAGTTTTAACCAGCTTTTGCCTCTTTAAAAACTTGCCAGAATGCAGCTTTTTTTTTAAAATCCATTCGAAATGCTGCTGTGGGGAAAAATGGTGAATGTGACGGCATTGGAACAGGACGTGTTAATCTGCCGATATCTTCATTTGCAAGCAGATCCCTGGCATTCTAAGCATCTTATTGCAGATAAATATCCTTTCAGAAGCTCCTGCACAGGAGTTTACACAGGCTGTGTAGGTGAGCATGGCAAGAGAGGAGGAAGAGGGGGCTGAATTTCATAGGTGACAATGATGCGGTAGTAATGTTGCATGACTAGGGAACCAGGTGAAAGTATTAGGAATACTGCTTCAAATCTCACCACAGCAGCTGATGGAGTTTAAATTCAATAAATAAATCAGGAATTTAAAGCTAGTCTAGGGAATGGTGACCATGAAACTACTTCACCAGTTGTTGTAAAAACCCATCTGGTTAACCAGTTTCCTTTAGGGGAGAAAGCCTGCCAGCCTTATCCAAACTAGGCTAAACATGACTCCAGACCCACAACCATGTGGTTGACTCAACTACCCTCTGAAATGGCTCAGCCAACTCCGTTCAAGGGAAATAAGAGAATGGTCAACAAAGATCAGCCTTGCCAACGACACCCACATTCCATGAAACAATACTCCTTCGTTAATAAAGACATGTTTCCCATACCTTCTCAACCATCTTCTCAAGCTACAGCCGTTACCTTCAGCGATCTATGGATATGCACATCAATGTCTTGTTAGTCCTATTCTCGTTAGTCCTCAAGTGCATTAACTTGCACTTTTCTGTATTGAATTCCATTTGCCACTGCTCTGCCCATCTGACCAGTTGCTTTCCTCCTAACGTTTACAGCACGGAGGGTGGTGCATGTATGGAACGAGCTGCCAGAGGAAGTGGTGGGGGCTGGTACAATTACAACATTTAAAAGGAATCTGGATGGGTCTATGAATAGGAAGGGTTTGGAGGGACACAGGCCAAAAGCTAGCAAATGGGACTAGATTAATTTTGGATATCTGGTCAGCATAGACGAGATGGACTGAAGGGTCTGTTTCTGTGCTGTACATCTCTATGACTCTATCCTCTGAGCTATTTACCACTCGAACAATTTGTGTCATCCACAAACAACTTCATCATAGCGCTTACAGTTAAGTCCAAATCATTAACGTACACCACAAACAGCAACAGCCCCAGTCCTAAGCTCTGTGGAAAATAAACTTCCAATCACAAGAACATCCTTGTATGCGTACAGATTACCTCTATACCCCTAATGGGCCCCATACATTCTCCTGGTCTTCATATATAGATATTTTTTAAACTCTTGGGGTTTTCCTTTATTGTACCCCTCAGGTTTTCTCATACACTCACTTTGCTTTCCTAACTTTCTTTTCAAGCTCCCCCCACCCCCGGAATGTTCTATCCTTCTCTGGGAATGCAGCTATATTGAGCCCTTGCTTGTGTTGCCATAACTTCCGAGGCTACGGGTCAAAAGCTAGAACATGGAATTAGTGTTGGCAGATCTTTGCTGACCTAGCGAGTGGTAGAAATATGAAATGTGCTGCCCGAGAGAGTGGTGGAGGCAGGTACTCATAACAATTAAGAAACATCTGGACGAGCAGTTAAAATGACAAGGCATAGTGGGCTATGAACCAAGTGCAGGTAAATAGGATTTGTGTAGTTTGACTTCTGTTGGTCGGCACAGACATAGAAACAGGCCCCTCAGCCCACCATGTTGTATGACTCTGGCTCTAAAGGCTGAGCAAACAGCAAGGCACGAGCATCACGAATAGGGCCACCCTGTATACGTGAGCTGGTGGTGCTCGAGTTTATTAGGCCAGAAGCTGGGTGAGATGGTTCTGCCTCTCAGGGCACTGTCTTTGCATGACAGAAACAGAACACAACTGTACAGTACAGCACAGCAACAGGCTCGTCGGCCCACAATGTTGTGCCAAACGTGATGCCAAATTAAACTAATCCCTTCTGTCCAACGTTGGTCCATATCCCTCCATACTTTGCTTATTCATGTGCCTATCTAAATGACCCTTAAACACCCCTATTGTATCTGTCTCCACCACTACCCCTGGCAGCATGTTCCAGACTCCTACCACTAAAAAAAAACCTTGCCCCTCATCTCCTTTGAGCTTTACCCCTCTTACATTAAACGTGTGCCCCCTAGTATTAGACATTTCAATCCTGGGAAAATAATTCTGACTGTCAACCCTATCTATGCATTTCAACTTTCATAAACTTCTCTGGAGGTATCTCCTCACCTTCTGCCACTCCAGAGGGAACAATCCTAGACTTTCCAGCCTCTCCTTATGGCTCATACTCCCTAATCCAGGCAGCATCTTGGTAAACCTCTTCTGCACCCTCTCCAAAGCCTCCAGATCCTTCCTGTAATGTGGTGACGAGAATTGAACGCAATACTTTAAATGCGGCCTGAACAAAGTTTACAAAGCTGCAATGTGACATCCTGACACTTGTACTCAATTCCCCAAACAATGATGGCAAACATACCATACTCCTCCTTTACCCTCTGCTTGTGCAGCCACTTCCAGGGAGCTATGGACTTGAACCCCAAGATTTACATCAATGTTGTTCAGGGTCCTGCCATTAACTGTACACTTTCCCCCAACATTTGACCTCCCCAAATGCAACACCTCACACCTGCCCAGATTAAATCTGCCATTTCTCCGCCCATATCTGCAACTGATCTATATCACGTTGTATCCTTTGACAACCTTCTACACTATCCACAACTCCAGTGATCTTTGTGTCGCCTGCAAACTTATTAACCCGCTCAGCTACATTCCCAAACATAAATGTACTCACATGTTGCAGCATGATTCCTCTGATGATCGATCTTGTGCACAGGACAAATGAAAGCATGCACAATAAGATGATAAAAATGTCAAAGACCAATCGGCCAGCATCACTATTAGCTGCATTTTCAGGGCAGGTGGAGAGAAGAAAAAAAAAAGTCTTTAAATAAACATGAACAGGGAAGGGTGAATAAAACCACTGCATGAACCCTGCGTAATCAGGACACAGCACAGCCTTTCAGAATGTCACAGGCTATTACAGTTCCTGGATGTTGCATCGTTCAAGTTATCACTTTGAATTCAATCAGGTGAATTATTCATATTCACACTGAACCAGTGACAAAATAAAACACCCTGTTACAAGCATCCATCCATCCAAAGTCGGGAGGCCACTAGTCAGCCCACTGACCCTGTACTAGTTCTTTTGTAGCGAGAACAGTACAAATGTGCATTGTCTATAAAGCATTTTGCAAAGCGGGAAGGTGACATAAAAATGCAAGTCTGTCCTAGTCTCCAGCTCAATTTTAGCTGGGATGTAGCAGCAGGGTTACAATCAATTCAGGGATTAGTCTGATATTATTATTGGGGTACGAAGAGAGAGCGACAGGCTGGCAGAGACAGAGGGGAGTAGTTGTTCCTGGTCATTGCGAATGGCCGTATGGATAAGCTGTGCCGTTGGAACTGTTTTCCTGTCGGGTTCATCTGTAGGTACAGGCATTAGAATCACATACCAACTGTAAGGGTTGCATGTCACCTCTGTGGGCACCTGGCATTGTAGCTAACTGCTCTCTAGCATGGTGACAGTAGCCATGGTTCCACCATGGCACATGCCAAAGAGTGTGGCAATTCATCCTGAGAAACTAACATTAGCACAGATACAATAATTTAATTAAGTCAGAACACCCAAGGCTAGAGGAGACAGTACAGTTTTTTGGTCTATGCTGTCTGTACTACAGTAACTAACATTTGAATAGCGTCTGCAGTGTAACGAAATGTCCCATGGCACTTGACAGCAGACAGTCCTGTGATCAAGAGCTTGGTCAAATCTTGGTCACATCTGAAGATGTGCCTTATAGGTGCAATGTAGCTAGGTCATTCCCAAACTAATCCTTTCCCATTGATGTGTCAATCTCACTGTCCTGTGGGCTGCACTTAATCCCAAATCAATCCCAATGTTCCATTATCTCCCTGACTGTATCAGACAGGCCTCCAGGACTCTCCATTAGATATCCTTACCATATCCAAAAACACTGGGATCAACACATTCGTTAATAACCACATCATTATCCAGGGTGATCTTTATCCGGCCGCTGTGCGCTTTATTATCAAATAGGATCTGAAAGGGAATGGGAACTAATTAGTTGCTGTCTGATTTTGCGCTCTCAACAGCACCATCCCCAGTGTCATAAGATACAAGAGTAGAATTAGGCCACTCGGCCCATTGAGTCTGCTCTGCCATTCGATCATGGCTGAAACGTTTCTCAACCCCATTCTCCTGCCTTCTTGCCATAACCTTTACCAACCAACCTATCTCGGTCTAAAATACTCAATGACTTGGCCTCCACAGCCTTCTGCAGCAATGAGTTCTGCAGACTAGCCACCCGCTGGCTGAAGGAATTCCTCATCGAAGGGTCTGTTTCCATGATGTATAACTCCATCTCAGTACTATAGGATTGTCTTTTCACACAGAGCCTGTACAAAAGGATGTGATCGGATCCTCAACTCTCTGTAGAAACACCTTCTCCAAATCCAATCTATCCAGGCCCCTCAGTACTTTGTAAGTTTCAAACAGACCCCCCCGCTTCATCCTTCTAAACTTCATTAAGCACAGACTCAGAGTCCTCATATGACAAGCAACACCTTCACCTCAATGCGTCATTTAGCTACTGGGGTTACAGAACCTGTCTTGCCCCAGGTTGCCCTTCCACATTACTGAGGAACCCAAACAGAGAATACAATCAGCTATTCAACTGCAAGGGCCATCATAGCCACTCCTGAACTCGTCCTTTCGCTCTCACTTTTCATGATAGCCAGAAGCATGACGGGACATCGCTGGACAAGAGTAAGCGGAAGGAAAGTTAGTTGGTTCTATGCTCCTCCACAAATTTGGGACTGCAGGCACCCACTGCAGCCCCAAGTGATATTAGCAAACTCCGATCAGAGTGGGAATCAAACCTGCAGTCTTCAGTCTGAGCCGGCAGCATAGTTAGCCACTGAATAAATGAAGGGGAAACAAATGATCAACTGCTGTTTAAAGATGGTGAGGTGGCAGAAGACTAGAGGTTGGCTAACACGGTGCCACTATTTAAGAAAGGTGGTAAGGAAAAGCCAGGGAACTATAGACCATTGAGCCTGACATCAGTGGTGGGCATGACTCGGGACATACAGGCCATTTGGTCCAACTAGACCATGCTAGTGTTTGCACACCACGTTAGTCACTTCAGAGTCTTCACCGAACTCGTAGTATAGCTCTTCAAAAGCATGTAGTCCCCTTAAATAAATCTGTATTATTCAACTCGACCACTACCTGTGGTAGCATGGTCTACCTTCTCTCCTCTAGCCATGTAAAAAATTTTCTTCCAAATTCCCCATCTGACTTCTTTGTAACCAACACAGCCTCTAGTTTTGCCCTTCCCACAACTGGAAGGATTCTGTCTCCACTCCAACAAAACCTTTTGGAATTTTAAAGAGGAGAGACAGCTTCATCTGTTCCTGATCATTCTAACATTGAGATTGAGGAGGTCACCATGATACATTAACCCAGAAACAGAAATACTGTAGCCTGACAAACTCCCTCAACCAGGATGAAATGTCTTACTCCTGGACAGTGGCAGAGCCGACCATTAAGTTAAAAAAAATTTCAAAAGTTCAAAGGATTTTTTTTGTTCCCAAAATTCATTTGTGAATGCGAGTGATGCTGATTGGGCCAGCAATTCCTGACTGCCCTCATGAAGGCAGTGGTGAGCTGTCTTCTCAAGCCACTGCAGTCCTAGGAGAGGAAGTAGACCCAAGTTCAGTTTTACGCTCATCCTACCACGCTCATCCTACCACGCTCATCCTACCACGCTCAT